TGAAGATTTTCCTCCCATGAAGGTTTACAGTGCGGGAAGCCCAGGTCCACCAGGGTCAGTGTCCTCCTGTGAAGGTTTATAGTGCAGGAAGCCCAGGTCCACCAGGATCAGTGTCCTCCTGTGAAGGTTTACAGTGCGGGAAGCCCAGGAGAAGGTCTGAGTCAGACTAGATGATGACAGTGGATGTTTGGTGCGTGAGGACAAGGTGGTTACAGCACTTGGCTGAAGATTGGTGGTTCAAGCCCACCCACCGGCTTTTCCAAGGGAGAAATGCATTGCAGTCTGTTGCCATAAAACCCGCAGCCTTGCAAACTGTGGGGAAGTTCTGCTCTGTCCTGTAGGGCCACTAGGTAGGAACTGATGGCAGTATGTTTGGTTTGGTTTCTCATCGTTGGGAATCTGTTAGAATCACCAGGAGATCTTGTTAAAGTGGATTCTGAGTCCATGTGTCTAAGGTAGAAATGCAGATTTTCAGCAGGGCGTCAGACCAGAACGAGCAGGTTCTAAGCCTCCTTTTATTCATCTTTAGAATAAAGAGTTTGAGTAAATGTGCTCACACGCCCTTCTCGGCACCACACTTTTCCTGGTTTATAATTACTCTCTTTCCTTTGCTTCTTAGCGTTAGAGAGGGTAGAGATGGCATTCTTTGCTTTTCAGGGGTTGAGAGGTGTCCTAGAAGCTGGGAGGGGTGGAGAGCATTTGAGAGTTAAGTCTGAACCAATCGTGATAGCCTTAGAGGGACAGACAGAATCTGAGAAGTTGAAAGTCACTAGGGAAAATAGAAATCCATACACTTGGATCCGGAAACCTTTGTGAGCAAGTTCAGGTCGGAGACTTGGTATTGATCGGATGCTCTCGGAAGCAGGTGTCTGGCCACCATCAGCGTAACAGGGCAGTTAGCCTGGAGCCGTTCTCCAAGCTGGTAGACCACTCCTGTGGGATAAGCAGCCTGACGAAGGAGATTAAACGCCTGTCAGTGGAAACCAGGCTGGCCTTCTCTCTGTTTTTGTGACTGTGGCGGTTCCAGAGTGAGAGGTTGACCAAGAAAGGTCAGTGAGTAATTGAAGGACACTGGTGCTGACTTGCCCAAGAAGGGAATTCTTGGAGGATGATAGCCATCAGTAGGACCCAAAAGAGAACAGGAGGCAGGCGCATAAACACAGGATCAGCTTTGGCTCCATAAAAGGAAGTGCTTGTGAGCGTAGCTGCCGGAGGGGTGTGAGTCTGCCTGGAGCAGTCTGTGTGTGGGCGTATTATCCAGGGGAGGCCACGGTCTTAACCAGAACTTTCAGTGCTTTCAGTGTTAGGCCAGAAGTGGTCAGGTTTGTGGACTCCTAACACTCGGGCCCTAGAGAACCTGAGGTGGTACTTCTTAGCTTCCCCTCCTTTTGGGACTCCCCATTCTGGAGGTCTCCTGACCACTGTCTTCTGTACAGTGGCCTTCATGCAGTTAGCCCTTTGATGGACATGGCTGAGCTCTTGCCTGCAACCCTCCAACTGAGTTCTCCCACTTGGATGGAGTCTCACCTCCTTTCCCCTAACATGCAGTGCCCTGGGTTCCCCAGCCCTCACCCACCTCTCTGCCTCCTCTCCAGAATGCCCTTTGTCAGTTTAGGGGTGAAGGAAAAACTAGAAATCCTTAAACCTGTGGCGAGAGCTAAAAGCGCAGGGAGTCTGGGCTGGACCTCCAGCGTCACCTTGAGAGGAAGACTGATTTGGGGAACTTGAGACGTCATTCCTTGGGATAACGTAGGCGCTCACCTGTATGGCCCACACAGGGTGAGGTGGTAAGACACCTTCCTGTCCCTCTTCCCTTCCCTTGGCCAGCTCTGTTCACCAGACCGACCCCTGGTCTGTATAAATACATTCCATTTTAACATTCCAGCAGTGGTGTCTCTCTGGAGACTAAGGTCCGCCTGATACAGGCCATGGTTTTTGCAATCACTTGTTATGCATCAGAGAGTTGGACAATGACTAGGGAGGATAGAAGGAGAATTGACACCTTTGAGCTGTGGTGCTGGAGAAGAGTACTGAATGTACCATGGACTGCCAAGAAAACAAAAAGATTTGTCCTGGAGAGGGTTAAACCAGGCTGCTCCTTGGAGGCAAGGATTCTGGGGCTTCGCCTGACATACTTTGGACATGTTGTAAGGAGAGACAGGTCTTTGGAGAGGGACATCATGCTTGGGAGGGTGGAGGGACAGCGCAGGAGGGGAAGACCCTCTATGAGGTGGATTGATTCAGTGACTGGGGTAATCGGGATGGATGTGTCAGAGGCAGTGAGGTTGGCGCAGGATAGAGCAGGGTTTAGGGCTGTTGTACATAGGGTTGCAAGCGATTCAACGGCACATAACAACAACAACAACAATTAACGTTCAGTCTAGATAATGGTCGTTGTTGGCTGAGATCGGTTTGGCAGGTTCTCTTAGATCCAGATAGGATAGTTCTTCGGACATCTTTCACAACCCTGGATGGATGTTAAGACAGCGCTCCGTTGCTTGGAAAGTTACTGCTCAGTTCTCTAATAAATGAGTAACATGAGGACGGACCGTCCTCTTTCCCAACCGCCGGATTCCGGACGTGGCAGCTCTGGGACACCTACCACGGGCTCGCTCGTGATGTAACGGGGCTGTGCACACTGCTAGCTCACTCCAGGACCTTGTGTTCCAGGAAAGTGGCTTTTCTGAATTACCATGAAGTTTTAGAAATTCGTATTAACTGGAGAAATAGGTATGAATCTTGAGGTACAGACAACTGGGATAACACCTTTAAAAAAGTCTTACCATCCAACACTGAGGACTCAGCTATCAGCCGTTCGTTCTCCTGTTAGGATCCTGTACCCTGCCCCAGAGATTGTTCCTTTAAATCAAGGATCTGGAGATGGTCTGGCTGTTGGGTGGTTGTGAAGCGCTGTCTCTGACCCTGGGTGTACAGTCCCTTCTGGAGTCAGTAGCTGGGATTATGCTTCCGCTGTCTGGAGGTGAGCGAACGACCCCTTCCGTTCCCCAGCTGTTAGGTGCCGTGCAGGGCGTCCGGGCTCGTAGCCACCGTGTGCTCAGCCGGCTCCAGCACCACCTTCCCACCTGCTGCTGTGTCTGCTCCTGGTGTGAGCATCTCATCAAGAGTCTTCCTCTTTTTCACTGACCCTTTATAGCATCAGTACTGGACCTTCTCCAGGGACTGGTCTCTCCTCAAAACGTCTCCAAAGTACACGAGACAAAGTCTCATCATCCTCAGGTCTAAGGAGCCAGGAGTCTGTCCTTCACGGTACTTCCCCAGCTTTTCGGTGTGTTTTTGCTTTGAAAAGAGGCCTCCCACCTCACAGTCCAGAGCTCTGACCTCAGGCCTTCTCAGTAGGCGTTTGGCCTTCAGTGTCAGAGGCAGGAGGTCACTTGCTGCCGAGTGCTGACCAGCTGGGACGCTCTGTTATAAGTGCTCCTGCTGACAGAGT